CAGGCCACGCGCCACCACCCCCGCGGTCCTTGCCAGCAACAATTTGACAGTGATCGCGGGATGGCCGCGCACGATCCAGATTTAGCCGCGAGGTGCATGTTGTATTGTTTTTTTTGTCAGGGATGATAGACCCGCGCGCGGCACGGAATATGCTGGCACGACCGCCGTCCCTTTCAAAAACAATACAACGTGTTCGGGGGCCATGCGAACATGACGCCAGACCTTGCCCCAAAGTGTACTTCGCATTGTTTTTTCGACACGGATGGTTGGAGGGCCGCATCGGGTTTGCAGCGCATGCTCCAAATGCGGAGGCAACGTGCGGTTTGTATTGTTTGTTGATCGGGATGATGGGGGGGCGGGCGTTTCGTGGCCTCATAGGGAGTTCCACCGAAGCCCCCACTGCCACCGTCCGCATGCGTCCCGAAAACCCTGTTTGGCATTTTCACCCACCCAGTACAGCGCTTCGTGGCCCCATAGGGAGGCTCCGCCGAAACACCCAGTGGGACCGCCCGCGTGCGTCCCACACACTCCTTTTGGCAGTTGCACCCACCCAGTACAGCGCTTCGTGGCCCCATAAAACCTCCACCGGAACCCCTTGTGGGACCGCCCGCATGCGTCTCACACACTTTGGCATTTTCGCCCACCCAGTATAGCGCTACGTGGCCCCATCTCCACCGTACCGAAGCCCCTAGCGGGACCGCCCGCATGCGTCCCACACACCCCATTTGGCGCTTTCACCCACCCAGTACAAGGATTCGTGGGCCCATCGGGATTTCCACCGAAACCCCCAGTGTTACCGCCCGCATGCGTCCCACACACCCACTTTGGCATTTTCGCCCGCCCAGTACAGCGCTTCGTGGCCCCATAGGGACCCCCACCGATACCCCTAGTGGGACCGCCCGCATGCGTCCACACACACACACACACACACACACACACACACACACACACACACACACACACACACACACACACACACACACACACACACACACACACACACACACACACACACACACACACACACACACACACACACACACCCTATTTGGCATTTTCACCCACCCAGTACAGAGTTTCGTGGCCCCATAGGGAACTCCACCGACGGCCCCAGTGCTACCGCCCACATGCGTCCCACACTCCCACTTTGGCATTTTCACCCACCCAGTACAGCGCTTCGTGGCCCCATAGGGACCTCCACCGACGGCCCCAGTGCTACCGCCCACATGCGTCCCACACACCCACTTTGGCATTTTCACCCACCCAGTACAGCGTTTCGTGGCCCCATAGGGAGCTCCACCGACGGCCCCAGTGCTACCGCCCACATGCGTTCCCCACCACCCGGTGCAGCGCTTCGTGGCCCCAGAGGGAGCTTCACCAAAGAAGATATTCACAATTGCGGTACCCACAACTCCATATGGTTGGGTTCTTCGCCAGGATAATCTGACAGGGATGGTGGGGGGCGGGCCGGCATGGTGTCCTCATGGTTCTTGGTTGGATGCCAGTCGCCTGGGGGAGGGGGTGTATATTCATAGGGAACAGTGATCAGGACGCCCTCCCCGCCAGCAAGCCGTCTCGCTCACTCCAAACACAAAACTAGCATCTGAGCCCCAGCATGTTCAGTGGTCTTCATTGGACAGCTATTGGGCTGACCCCATGTGCGCGTTGCTGGGGCGAGGTATGCCACGCCTGCCAGGCGCGCCAGGTTCGCGAGGCACCCCTGGGGCCCAAGCGTGCCAAGCACGCCTGGTGCGCCAGATGCGCCACGTGTCCACGTGCGCCATGTGTGCCGCATGCCCCAGCCGCGCCATGGGCGCCATGTTCGGGGCACGCGCAGAGTGTGCCGGGTGCGCCCGCGCACGTGACAGCACACATCGGGTAGCATGTCGGCCCCCGCCATCCTTGTCGAAAACCAATGCGCAATCGCGGCGGGGTGGCCATCTTGGTGCCTGGTGGGCCTCCACACAACAGGCAATCTGCCGACACCCCCGACACTCCTGTCAAAAAGCAATGTACAGTGATCGCGGGGTGGCCGCGCAGGATCCAGATTTAGGCGCGAGATGCACTTCGTTGTGTTCTTTGACAGGGATGGTGGCCCTGGGCGCAGCAGGCAATGTGCTCGCACCCTCGCCGCCCCATTCAACAAACGAGACACAGTGCTCGCGACAACGAGCATGACCCCAGACGTTGCCTTCGTGTATGTTGTTTCCTTCTTTGACAGGGATCGTGGAGGGGTGTTGTCATGGGTGCCCGCATGCATTCGGGTTGGCTGCTGGTCGCCTGAGGGAGGGGGTGTTTATTAATAGGGAGCAGTGGTAGACCCCTTCCCAACTTATCGCCGATTCCAGCTCGATGTTTCCCCCCTGAGCCAGTCTCATCCCTAACTTTCCCCCTCAGGGTTGCGGAGGAGAGAGAGCAGAGATGGGCAGCAGCATGAAAGCACAGAAGGAGGGAGCGGGTTTGAGGAAAACGGGACTTCGTGGCCCAGGCAACATTTGATTGTGGTGAAAACGCATGTACCCTGAACTCGCGGAGCACCGAGACTGCAGAGAAGAGAACGGGCACGCACGGGAAGACGAACTCCACGAACGACCATGGCTGACAAGCGCACCTCCCAGAACAAAGCGAAGGTAAAACAACACGGCCCAACCCCGAGAATATTGCAATTCGACATATGCACTCCTGGAAGCCACGACCAAGCAACAGACATTCTGGCAGATCACGGCACCGCCACCTGGAAACAACATTGACATATCATTTGGGGAAAAGGACTTCATCGTATTGAGCGCACCTGATGTTACTCCGCCCGTTCTCTGCACGTGGGATAAGCCTGCAGGACGTGAAACAAGTTACATGCATCCACCCATGAACATTGAATGGAACTATTCCCACAAACCCGATACCTCGAGCTGCAGTAGGTATGAGAAACCACTGACCACAAACCTCGCGGTTGAACACGGTAAAATTGCTATGGAATGATCTGACACGTGGAAACGGAGGCATGAGTTTGATACCTTTAGAGCATCATTCCCGCATTTGGTCGGAGTAGATGGGCTCGAAGGACCTCGCCGCATCGCCGATGCATCGGCGATACGGCTCGATGCAGAGCCCGATTTTCTCCACGCCACTTGTGCCGATGCGTCTCTGACCTCGCCGATGCATCGGCAGGGCATCGGCGATGCGGCGCTGTCCTTTGACCTCTATAATCGGATCCAATATGGGAGGCCTCCATGAGCACGGCTCCACACCACACCACACCCAGCACATTGAGGGCAGTATTCAACGAATTTGTCCAATCTACCCATCCGCAGCTGCTGCAAAAGCACAGCCGCGGCAGGAATCTGGGCTTCCCGAGCGACACGCGAAGGTACTGCAAGCGAGACTTGAGGCACATCGCACGGCCAAGTGCTACGGATGGGACTCAGACCGCGTTTGCTCGGGGTGAGCGGGTCGAAGGAAGGGGGGCAGGAGGGGGATGGGGGATGGCAGTGACGAGTGAGGGAGCAACCGGACAAAACAACAAACCATACACATACATGTTTGGAGATTTTCCTCGGATGTCTTGGATCGGCGCTGGACCCGTCCCTTGCGCGCGGAGCGGGGGCGGCGTTGGAGGCGCCGTCCGGGGGGGCCCAGGCGTAGATCCAAGACATGCGCGCGGAGCTCCGAACTGTGATGTTTGCGTCGCTTCCGCTTCTCGGGAAAGAGGGAGATATTGTTCTTCCACCTGACATTGCCCAAGATTTGCACTGAGAGAAGAAGGGGCCTTGGCACGTTAGCGAAACGACCGCCAAACGACGAGGCTCGCCCCGCATGGCGGGAATGGTGTAGCAGCGCAACGGGACAAGGCAGAAGCTCGGCTCTGGACCGCACAGGGGGCGCCGAGTGGAGCAGCGGCGGCCCGAACCCAGCAAGACGAGGGACCTGTCGTAGGAGCGAGGGGTGAAGACAACGACGGGAAAGGAAAAGGAGGAGGAGGAGGAGGAGGAGGAGGAGGAGGAGGGGGAGGAGGGGGAGGGGGAGGAGGAGGAGGAGGAGGAGGAGGAGGAAGGGGAGGAGGAGGAGGGCAAGCTAGGTGCGCTCGCGTAATATCTGACGTCCTACCCCTCCCTCCCATCCCTTACCATGGCGTAGCTCTCTTCTCGATTCGCGCAGTCAGATGTCGTAGCAGGGCATAGCATTACATGGCATAGCATGGTGTTGAAGATCAACGCGTAGCCTGACATAGCATGGCGTCGCGACGCCCCAAAATCAGGAGGGGGCTTCTACGGCCCAAAAATCAATGAATCGACGCCGAATGTGTAATCACTTCCGATGGTTGCTTCGGGGGGCCATTTTCTAGATGTCGGTGCCTATTTGGCAGGACCGAAAACCATGCCGTGGCATCGCGCTGAAAAGAATGACGCCAGCGTTGCAGCGGGAGCACGATTCGGAACGAGCGGAAGCGCGGAAATGAGGCCAGCTGTGCAGCGGGAGCACGATTCGGAGGACGCGTAGCCTGACATAGCATGGCGTGGCGACGCCCCAAAGTGGGGGGATTCGATGGTTTCTGAGGGGGGAATTTTTAGACTTTGGGGCCTTATTTGGAAGGACCGAAAACCATGCCGTGGCATGGCGCTGGAAAGAATGACGCCAGCGCTGCAGCTTGAGCACGATTCGGAGCGGTAGCCCGAAAATGAGGCCAGCGATTCAGCGAGAGCAGCATTTTCAAACAAAAGGAAACTAGCGAAACCCGTTTCCCGGGAATCCTGTGTGTAAAAAAACAGTGCGCAGAGAGGGGCCGAACATTTTCCGGAAGTCACCAGGGGAGAGAGGAGAGTAGTATTCATATTGTGCGATTGTGGAGGGGGAGGGGGAGGGGGAGGAGGAGGGGGAGGGGGGGAGGTGGAGGGGGAGGAGAGATTGGAGGAGGAGGAGGAGGAGGAGGAGGAGGAGGAGGAGGAGCAGGGACAGTGACGAAGTGAAAGAATGGCGGCGAGGGGCGGGTCGGTGCTCTGAAGGAGGCGGTGCTCGGGCCGACGCACCCGGACACCCTGGGCAAGCCGCTCCCCCGCAGCCTCCCGGGCGGTCTCGGCGCGCCGCCCCGGGGCGCTTGTTAACCGTCATCCCTCCTCCGACGGGGTCTCGGCATCGCTCGGACGTGTGCATGTTTGCTTTGGCGAGGACCATCGAGGAGCATCTTTGATCATGTGGCCAAAAAAGGCACGCACGAAACAGAAAAAGCACAGGGAATGGCCGTCCGAGCGATGGCCAGGGGTCGGAGGACACTCAGAAGCTTGGACGTTGAAAGCCAGAACCTTGGACGACCCTGGCTGGATAAAGCGAAGAACGGGTAGTGTTTCTCTAGAGCTCCTAGATGGGGTCCGAGTAGATGGGGTCGGAGGATCGCGCCGCATCGCCGATGCATCAACGATGCGACTCGATGCGGAGCCCGATTTTCTCCGCGCCGACGTCGCCGATGCATCGCCAATGTATCGTCAGTGTGTCTCCGATGCATCGCTGATGCATCGCCGATGTCTCGCCAGGGGATGCGGCGCGATCCTCCGACCTCATCTACTCCGACCCCATCTAGGAGGCCTCTAGTTTCGCGGGGCCCTCCAAACTGTGAAGTGGCCACAGCGTGTGTTGAGTTAGGGGGGGGGTTCGCGGTCACCACGCTGTTTTGCGACTCGAGGCGTTCACAGAGGATGCCCTGGGCGACTGGGAACTCCGAGGCCCCGAAGCCGGGCCGTGCGCTGACAAACCGCGCGGTGAGGTCGTTGGGCAGTCCGAGGCCACCACGCGCTCCGTCACCACGCGGCCCTGGGCCCCGAGGCAGCGTTTCGTTAGATTGCAACTCATGGGAGCCTATTTTCAAATGGTCGTTCGTCCAGGGCGGAGCAAATGGCAGCAAACGGCAGCAAACGACATAACAGGCAACATATTATGCGCTCCGTCAGGACGAAAAGAGGAGGAGGAGGAGGAGGAGGAGGAGGAGGAGGAGGAGGAAGACGCGGATAATGAGAAGGAAAAGGAGGAAAAGGGAAAGGAAGAGGACATGAAAGATGGACGGGGACAAGGAGGAGGCGGAGGAATACCAAGAGGAGCATGAGGAGGGTGATGGGCGAAAAATAAGAGGACGGCGGGGAAGGGGAGGGCGGGGGGGAGGACGGGGAGGAGGATGAGGAGGGGGGAAGGAAAAGGGGGATGAGGAGAAGAACAGGAAGACTTGGGCATGGAAGGTTGGGGAGACGGAGGGGGAATAGGATAAGGAAGCGGGAGGGGGGGAATTATAATATGTAGGAGAGGAGGAGGAGGAGGAGGAGGGGGAGGAGGAGGAGGAGGAGGAGGAGGAGGAGGAGGAGGAGGAGGAGGAGGAGGAGGAGGAGGTGGACGACGCGGGTGACTGGATGGGTGAATAAGAGGATATTGAGGACGAGGACGAACAGAAGGGGGAGGAGGAGGAGCAGGAGAGGGAGCAAGGGCAGGAGAAGGATATCTACTCTTCGTCCCCCTTCTCCTCTTCCCACTCAGGTATGCCTGCGCTGTTTTACGCCCTGCGCTGACTGGGGTCGCGCGCGCATCTCTCGCTTCCTCCCTCCTGTGCCGCCTCGTTGTTTTGGCACGTGTTTTGCTTGCTCCTGGCGGGGGCTGGGCCGACGGTGGGTCGGTGGGTCGGCCGAGTTGTTGTGGCCACGCTGTTTTTTTTTGCTTGCGTCTGTTTCTCCGCCGTTTGCCTTCCTCCTGGTCGCTCTTGCAGGTTTGGTACCTTGACATTCTTCATTTGCACGTGGTGGCGCAATCCTGCTGTTGTGAGTGTTGGTGATTCGGCTGTCTCCGGAGAAATAAAAAATTGCTGCTCCTCCTCCTCCTCCTCATCCCCCTCCTTCTCCTCCCGCTCCTCCCCTCCTGCGGTTCTTTCGTGTTCCTGCTGCATCCTCTTATTCCTCCTCCTCCTCCTCCTCCTCCTCCTCCTCCTCTTCCTCCTCCGCCTCCCAGTCCACGGCTTCCTTCCCTGTCATGTCCTCCTCCTCCTCCTCCTCCCTGCTCGCCCCCCTCCTCCCTCCTTTCTTCCTCGTTCCGTCCTCCCCCCTCCTACTCCTCCTCCTCCACTCCTCCTACTCCCCTCCTCCCCCCCCCCCCCCACCACCACCACCGCCCTCCTCATCCTCATCCGCCTCCTCATCAGCGTCCCCCACCTTCTCCTCCTACCCCTCCTTTTCCTTCTTCTCCTCGCTCATATCATCCTCTTTGTCCTCCTCCTCGTTCCTCCTCCTTCTCCTCCTTCTCATCCTGCTCCTCCTGCCCCCCCTCGTTCCCTGTCCCTTCGCCCTCTTCCGTCGTCCTCTTCCACATATGTTTGTTCGATTAGCCCTCTCTCCTCCTCCTCCTCTCCTCCTCCTCCTCCTCCTCCTCCTCCTCCCCCCCCCCCCCCCCCCCCCCCTCCGACCCGTCCTCTTCCAGCGTCCCCCCCTTCCTCTTCTTGGTTCCCCCCCGTCCCCTTCCACTTCCTCATCTTCCTTCGCGTCCCCTTCTTCTTCTTATTCTTCTTCTTCCGCCTCCTCCTCCTTTTCCCCCCCATGTCCTCTTGCCTCTCCTCTTCCTCCTTCCCCTCCTCCTCCAGCTCCTTCTCTTCTTCCGTCTCCTCTTCTCCGCCTGCCCCCCATCCTCCTCCGCCTTCTCCTCCCCTCCATCCCCGTTCCACTCTCTGCCCCGCTCCTCCTCAATTCTTGACGCTTCGCGCATCCCCACCAGCCCATCCAGAAACGATGTCCAGGCACGTTGAAGAGATCAGGGAAGTGGGGGAGCAACGAGAGGGACAGCCGATCCGTGCAAAAGATGAGGCGGAAGAGGAGGCCAGAAGGATAGATGGGGGGGTGGCGAAGAACCGAGTGAAGGAGGGATGAGGAGAATGATGACGCTGGGTGGATGGTTGAATGCCGTTCGGGCGCCCCTTTGGAAGCCTTTTGGGAGCCTCTTTGGGCGCCGTGGGGGTCTCTTGGCGGTCAATGGGGGCTCTTGGGCGTCTTGGGTGCTTCGGGGGGGGGGCCTCTTGAGGCCGCTTGGGGTCCTCCCGGGGGGCTCGTGGGGGCCTGTTGAAGGCCTCTTGGGGCCTCTTGGGGGTCTCTTGGAGCTTCATGGCGGCCTCTTGGAGCCTCTTGGAGGCCTTTTGGAACTATCATGGGAGCCTCTTGGAGCCTCTTGGGGCCGCTTGGGGCCCTCTTGGGGGCCTCTTGGAGGCCTCTTGAGGCCATCTTGGCGCCTTTGGGGGTTCCCTAATTAACCCTGCCCATCGGGAGCTACCAAAATAGCCGCCTGGGCCCCTCTTGGGGCCGTCTTGGGGCTCTCTTGGGCCCCTCTTGGGGCCTCCGTGGCCCCTCTCGGAGCCAGGTTGAGGCCTCAAATGGCCATCGGAAGCGAAAAGGCGAGAAGCAGAAAATCATTGGCTTTCCTTAGGTTTTTGAAGGATTGTGGCTTCTTGGGGGGCCTCCTTGGGGAGATAATTTGCTTCTTGGAGCTGTCTTGGAGCGTTCTGAGAGCGTCTTGGAGCATCTTCGCAGCCATCTTGCGGCATCTTAGGCTATCTTGGGCCATCTTGCAAGTCATCTTGGACTATCCGAGGCGTTCATGCAGCCATCCTGGGCCATCTTGGACATTCTGACCGCTCGCGACCGGGCCCGTCCAGATCCAGGGGAGGGGTTAGGGAGAGGGGTAAACCCCTCCCCGAAGGGGAAGCAGGGAAGATGGAAGAGGAAACTCCCTAAACCACCTACGCCCAGAGGGCTGGTGGGATTCTCCTCCTCATCCTCCAACGTCTCGCTGTCCCCGCCCTCCTCATCCCTCCCCATTTCTTCCGTCCCATCTTTCCTCTCCTCGTCGTCATCGTCGTCGCCCTCCTCCTCGTCCCCCCCCCCCCGTCCCGCCCTCGCACGCAGGTGCCCCAATGGAGCGAAGCGAAGCGACGCCCTCCCCTCCCCCTCCTCCTTTCCTTCTCCTTCTCCTCCTCCTCCCCCCCCTCCTCCTCTTCCTCCTCCTCCTTCCCTTCCTCCTTGTCATCCTCCTTCTTCTCCCCCTCTCCTACTCCCCCCTTGTCTCCTCCTCCTCCATCCCCTCCTCCTCTTCTGCCTCCATCCCTTTCCTTGTTTCCCTCCTCCTCCTCCTCCTCCTCCTCCTCCTCCTTCTCCCCCTCCTCCTCCTCCCTCTCCCTCCCCCTCTCCCTTTCCCTCTCGCTCTCCCTCCCCCTCCCTTCTCTCTTTCCCCTTCTCCTCCTCGCCCTCGTCCTCCTCTTCTCTCGTTCCCTCTCCCTCTCCGTTTCCCTCTTCTTCTCACCTTTTTTTCCTTTTATCCTCCTGTTTCCCACCACCCTCTCCACCTCCCTCCATATCCTCCCCCTTCTCTTCATCCTCCGCGTCTTCCTCCTCTTCCTACTCCTCCGCCCCCCTCCCCCGTCCCTCTGCAATCCATTCATCTCCCTCTTTCGTCTCCTCCTCTTCCTCCTCACCCTCCTCCTCCCCCATTCAAGCCAGTGATAACAACGAAGCGTGGGCCGCAGAGGCAAAGGGCCAAGGGTACCTTAGGACAAGCTGCATGTCCTTGCCCCGGTTTTGGACGCACGGGCTCGACTGCGCAATCGATTTGCCGCTGACTTTGGGGGGGGGGGGCGCCAAATCACTGAAGGGCTGCTTGGTTCATCGATGTAAAATCAACGACAAAAATATTCCACGGCGCATCAATGACATAGTCGGTCCCCTGGTACAATACCTGGACCGCCTTGCATTCAGTCTGCTGCAAATCCGCCGCATTCCACCGAGGGAACGCGACCGTCCGCAGCTCGACAGCGCCACCTCCACCTCCTGGCCCAGACGGTTTCCAAAGGGAGTGCGGCTCGCGTGGCGGTCAGAACATCCTCCCGCGATGCGCCAGCCCACCTGGGACGCGTAAAACTTGGTCGCCCCTCCCCGTTCCCCTCGACTAACATCATGCACCTGGTTGAACCGGGGCGCGCGTTCAAAAACCGATGCGCGCGCAGTGGAGCCGCCCGCGGGCAACTAGGCAACCGCCCTGGCAAAACCGATTGGAACTAGGGAAATGGGCCTCCCACGACCAAACCACAACGGCC